TATGAGAGATACTGGTCTATAGCTTTCATTTCTAGTAATATCTTTACTTCTGTTGTTAGGCTAACACTGGCCTCAGAGATTGAGTTAGAAAGTATTACCACTGCTTCTATCTTCTGGAAGAAATTATAGAATTGGTTCAATCTCTTCCCTAAATGTTTGATGGGATTCACCAGTGAATCCATCTAGGCCTGATGCTTTCTATTTTACAAGCTTATTAAATATTGGTTCACTTTTTAAATAGACATAGACCTACTCAGATTGAATATTTCTTGTGTGAGTTTCAGCAGACTATGTCTTTCAAGGAATTGGTCCATTTCATCTAGATGTCCAAGTTTGTGTAGACAGCACTGTTCACTGTATTCCCTTATCACCCTTTTAAGGTTTATGCCTAAAGTCATGTTCTCTCTTACATCTCTGATCTTAGAAATGTGTCTTTTCTCTTTTTTTATTAGTTAACCTAGATAAAAGCTTACTAACATTTTAACAGAACCAGGTTTGGGTTTTGTTCATTTTCTTTTTTGAGTTCCTGTTTTCAATTCTTATGATTTCTGCCTTAATTTTTATTATTTCTTTTCTTCTGCTTGTGCATACCCACTAAGTCACTTCAGTCACATCTGACTGTTTGCAACCCCACTGACTGTACCTCACCAGGCTCCTCTGCCCGTGGGATTCTCCAGGCAAGAATACTGGAGTGGGTTGCCGTGCCCTCCTCCAGGGAATCCTCCTGACCTGGGGTTCGAACTCATGTCTCACACATCTCCTGCACTGGCAGGACGGCTCTTTACCGCTAGTGCCATCTGGGGAGAGCCCGTGTTAGTCACTCGGTCGGACTGCAACCCGCCAAGCTGCTCTGTCCACAGAATTCTCCAAGCAAGAATAATGGAGCAGGTAGCTATTCCCTTCTCCAGGGGATCTTCCCAACCCAAGGATCGAACCTGGGTCTCTTGCACTGCATGTGGATTCCTGAATCCATGCCTGGTGGACTACAGCTCATGGGGTCGCAAACAGTCGGACACGACTGGGCAACTCTGTATTTATTTTGCTCTTCTTTTGCTCATTTCCTAGGATGGAAACTTAGATAATTGATTTTAGACCTTTCTTCAATTTTAATATATGCATTCAATGCTGTCAATTTCCTTCTAAGCACCACTTTCACTAGATCTCACAAATGTAAAATTGTTTATTTCTCCTTTCAGTTTTATCAGTTTTTTGTATGTGCATATCAGTATACTACTAATAATACACCAAACTTATATTTGGTGAATACATGTCTAGGACTCCTACATGTTCTTGATTAACCCTTTTATCATTATATAATTTTCCTGTCTCCAGTTAATTTTCTTTGCTCTGAAGCCAATTTTTACATTATCTGTTTGTTCTCTTTCTTTTTTGTTTCTGTTTTCTTTTTTGCCTTCCTGTGGGTTACCTGAATGCTTTTCAGAATTCCATTTGGTTTGTCTAGAGTGTTTTTTGGTGTATCTCTCTCTACGTCTACCTTTTTTCCTGCTTACTCTAGCCATCAGATACAAATGACATCACTGCCTACTGGTGTCATCATTTTACCATTTCAAATGAAGTGCAAAAACCTTACATTCCTTTATACTCCTTCATTTATAATTATCGTAAATATTTTCTCTTTACACTTAGAACTACATCAGACACGCATGAAGCAGGGCAGCCAGGGCTGGGGCTCGGTAACAATCTGAAGGGACGGGGCGGGGAGGAGTGGGAGGATGGGGGGACACAAGTATACCTGTGGCCTATTCAAGCTGATGTATGGCAAAAGCCATCACAATACTGTAAAGTAATTATCCTCCAATTAAAATAAATAAATGATTTTTTTTAAAAAAGAACTACATCAGACAGTATAGTTTTTGTTCAACCATAAAACAACTTACAATACTCAAGAGGGAAAGGAAAACATCCACTTGTATTTCACTCTTTTGTTCTTTCTTCCTTCTTAATACTTTAGAATTCCTGCTTTTATTATTTCCTTTCTGCTTAGAGAACTTACTGAAGCTATTCTCTGACAGCAGATTAGCAGGTGACAAACTCCCTTAGTGCTGCTTCGTCCTTCTCTTCAGCCTTCCAAAGGGCCGATTCCCCTTCTCTCTTTAACGGTGTTTTCACAGGACAGAGGGGCTGGGTTGACAGCTCTTTTTCAGCACTCGTGCGTGCCATGTCCCCACAGCCTCGATGATTTCTGCTCAGAAATCCACTGCCATTTGAACTGTTTCTCCTCAACAAGTACAGTGCTGCTTTCCTTGCACCACTTTAAAATGAAAGAGTTTCCAATCCCAATTAAAGAACAGAAAGTCACTTATTCCCTTTTGACTTCTAGACCAAGACACAGCTATGTAATTACTGTCCCTCTGGGTAATGACATCTGAGAGTCTTGAACCATGATACTAGATAGCAGTCTCACATTATACCAGTAGGTGTCACTCTATATATGATATATTAAAAGTCATTTAAGTCTCAATTTCATCCCTTCAACAAATATTGACTAAGTGTCCATTATGTGCGAGGCATGATTCTGGGTGCTGAGATTATAAAGGTGAACAAGAAAGACATGATCTTATTTTCATGAAGCTCACAGTCTAGATATTAATGAACAAATCTGCTTTACTTGTTTTCATTATAAAACTCTGTCAAATTCTATTCCAAAGGAAAGTTTATTTTCCTAAGTTATTAGAGAATAACACTTAAAATAGCTCTTTCTGAACATATCATAATGAAACAGAATTAGAGAATCTGTGTTCAGTATAGGTGAGTGGCTCAGTGGTAAAAAAAAATCCACCCGCCAATGCAGAAGACACAGGTTCGAGCCCGGGGTCAGGAAGATCCCCGGGAGGAGGAAATGGTAACCCACTCCAGTATTCTTGGTGGGAAATCCCATGGACAGAGGAGCCTATGGGCTACAGTCCACGGGTCGCAAAAGAGTTGGACACAACTTCGCAACTAAACAACAACAGGTGAGATGAATGTATCCAGTATATTTCCTAGAATTGACACAACACTTCTCTTCCAAACTTTTAAGTTTCTAAAACCCAAATTTTAGGTATCCTTCATTACAATGGAGAAGAATTAATCTTAAAAAAAATTCAAAGTTTAAAAAAATCTATTCATGTTTTTACAATAGAGACTATTACAAATTTTTAAAGATTATTTGCAAAGTTTATTAATTCCAAAGTACAGATATCTTTATTTCTACTTAGAAAAGTCAAAACACCCCCTTCTAAACACCAGCATACTCCCCCAGTTAACAGAACAAAGATAAAAGTGAATTATCATTCTCAGCCTAGACTTTAGGGATTCCTCCACTGCCAACATCCTTATTTGGATAAACATGTGAGACTCATAGCTATTACCAGGACTTAAAGGTGACCCATGATTAGAGTTGAGCAATGAAAGGTCATATTTTGTCAAAATAAACAGATCTAAGGGAGGGAGCAGACCCGGTACCTCAAAAAAGTATATTTGCCTGCACAGAAATCCAAGAACTTTTAATTAATCCAAGAACTATTTACTCTTGTTATTTTACTTCTCTGAATTCTCAAACAGAATGTTCTTTAATCTGGGAAGGCTAGAAAAAATATGGTTAAGGAAATATTTCAGTATCAAAAGTTCTACTGCTTAGAATTCTTTAACTTCAAAATTCAGTCAAATAAATTTCTCTGAGACAAACTGATGCTGATAAGAATTCAAAAAGACTACAACAGCTTCATGTAATATCTAACCTAATATTCCTTTTGAAATACCTCAAACTCTTAGTTACTATTCAAATTACTTGAAATATATTCCACATTGTTCAATTTCAGCTGACAATCACACACATACTTTAGAACAGAAGAAGCAGTGAATGGATGTGAGGTTATAAACAATCACACACATACTTTAGAACAGAAGAAGCAGTGAATGGATGTGAGGTTATAAACAATCACACACATACTTTAGAACAGAAGAAGCAGTGAATGGATGTGAGGTTATAGACAATCACACACATACTTTAGAACAGAAGAAGCAGTGAATGGATGTGAGGTTATAAGCAAACGCTAAGGGCCTTCATAAAGGGTGACTAGCATTAAAGAGATTAACTTACATCTGATATTAAGGCATTTGCTTTCACTTTGAAAGGTATTAAAATAGTGGTGGTTAACCAAAAATATTTAAAACTGGCTTACTGGGTATGATTTTTCAATTACATTTGTAAACTTTCTGACTCCCCAAGTACTGTTGTTTGGCATATCTGAGATGTCACCAAATGTGGGGAAACTGGATGGCAGAGACATCTGCTATCGCAGTACTTGTATTTCAAATATAAAAATGTGTGTGTGTAAAAGGGGATTTAGTGTACAGGAAAAAGTCACAGCTCTTGGTGCTACAATCATCCTGGTTTGAATTCCAGTACTACCTTAAATAGTTCTATGTGACTTCTGGGGCAAGTTACTTCAACTGTTCTAAACATCACTTTTCCACTAAGATGCAAATAACAGGGTTGAAAAAGGATTATGTTGTTTATATTGTAAACATACATAAAACATTGTATTATGTTGTTTATATTACATAAAATGCCTAATACGTGGTCTGATACATAGTAGGTACTCAAGAAACAGTACTTATTAGGAGAGCACCATTCTTTTTGACCACTAGACTGACTACACCAGTTAATGCTGAACAACTACTGACTCACTAGTTTTTGTAACGAACACACGGTGTATCTTTACCTGCTATAACAGGTTTATAAAATCAAACTCTTTACTAGACTGAATGCCAACAAATAAGCACCTTCTCCTTTAACATAACATATTTTGCATGACCTTACATGAATTGCTTAGATAAAAGCTTTTTCTTTTCTGCTTTTGTTATTTTAAAGTGCAGATGCATTTGAGTCATTTTCTCCTTTTGTTTCATATCCTTAAGATCCAAAGCTTCAAAGACATAATGTCAGCATGCAGTCGATTTATTACTGAACTCTTGAAGAGACACTGAAGAATTACCTTGTCAATCACCCCAAGGACTCTGAAGGCCTTCAGCTCCTCGGCAGGGCTCCTTAGGTTCCAAGGGGGCCTTGAACTTAGTGATCCTGGAGGCTAATGGAAGATATCAAAGATTACACATCAATCAGGGAGGTACTTGAAGGAAGACTGCCTGCTGAAGCAAATGCCAGGCCAAAGGAACTAAATTTATCATAAATCACAGAATGGAAAGATGAAAGGAGGAAGTTTCTGTTTGTCTGTAACAGAAAGTAAAAAAAAATAATAAAATCAAAAATGAAGGAAATCAAAAAGAAAAAGCAAGAAAAAAGTTGCAAGTAAATAAATCATGATAACACTGGAAACAAGATTTTAAAAAGAAAAATTAATGAGCTGATACAGTTTCCAGAGCAACAATTCAATTCAGAACTGTACAGCTATAATGAAACTTTGTAACAAATGGGTAACTGAACCAACAATCAATCACAGCCTTATATTTACCCCAGAAGGCTCAAGAGTAATTTAGAAGAAAAAGACTAAAAAACAATAGATAAACTTGGGGAAAGAGGGAACATAAGTCATTTTCTCTCATTATAAAACTACAGTTCTTTAATGCTACTTTTTAAATACATGCTATGTATGTTAAAAGGGATTGGCAAATTTAAGGTCAACCAGAATTGCTAATAATGGTGAAGAATTAAGAAATTCTATCCCATAACCAATAATTATTAGAACTGAATAAGCCTAGAAAAGAGATGATTTATAGAAGAAAATGTCTTTTAACTATCTGAACACCTGTGACGTGGAAAACTTCATCTGTTCACCATAATAAAAAGTGCAAAAAAGATCAATGAATACAGAAGGGATATTTCAGTACCACTTACAATAAAAGAATGATCCTAACTTCCCATCCATTTGTCTTAGTTTCTCACTACCAGTCATGTAAAACATTAGACTAGATAAATTCCAAAGACCTTTCCATTTGGCATTTACAATCAGAAAGCAATCCTTTATTAACCTTTATATTAAAATGGTGATGCGATGACAGGACATACAAAGCCTTATTATATCTACAAAACAGACCTTTCTGTTGTCAACAATCTGTTAAAATACAGAGGAAACATTTATCACCCCACTGAGTAGCTACTGATAAATAACCTGGTTAACCAAATGTCATGACTACTGGAGCTACTGAGTTACCATTTTTGATACTTCAAGTCCTAGTGCAGCCGAACATCACTAGACAAGAAGCTCCTTGAGAACAGGAAGTATGCCTTATTCACCTGTATATTCACGGGGCCTAGCATGCTGGTTGGAAGCAAAGAGGAAGAGCAGAAAAGAAAGGAAGGAGGAAGAGAGGAGAGTGACAAGTGAGGGAGGTCACACAGACAAATTAGCTATCTTTAATAGCTAGGAAAACTATCACTTCGAGAAATTTTCTAAAAGCAGCAATTCTAATTGCTTTCAAAATATTTTTTTTGTTTGTTCTTAGGTTTAGCAAGCAAATACTAACATGCCTAAAGAGGTGATATTTTTAAAAAGATAACTCTTTACTTTTTAAAGAAACTTGAGAATCTTGGTGATAATGGCAACTCAACAGGGTAATAACAATCTTTTTAAATCTATGTAATTTCTACTTCTAGCGTATGTTTCAAAAAATTATATTTTTAATATCTCACTTATATTAAGCACTCAGCTAGATGACATAAAACACAGATACATCTCTGTCTCCCTAAAGCTTAAAATCCAAGGGGAATTTTCAAGGCTAGAAAAACACTTAGTAGGGCATTTTAATAGAAATAAAACAGAAATACAAACTCTTCTCTCTTAATCTACATTATATTATTTCATCCTCATACCTCACCCTGGCCTGAGTGTAATACTTATAAGAAGTCATCATTATAATCCCACTTTACAGATGAATAAAAGGAAGTTCAGAATGGTTGGGAGTTTACAGTCAGAAAGAGCAGTGAAAGATCCCAGACTAGATCCCAACTCCTTACTTGATTGCTTGCAGTCCTTCTGCCACACAACACATTCTGATGATTAAAAATTCAGCTCTCCCTACTCTATTATCAAAGAAGAGTAAGAATTGCTTGTGATTTTTGTAAAAGGAATGGCTAGAAAATGTTATAAGAGGAAAAAGAATAATATGGCCAAACACGGCCAACATCCCTATCTCCTACTTATCCCTCTTATTCACTGATGTCATAGGATCTTTCAGTTTCCAAGGAAACTTATCAGTTCACTTTAGCAATCTCAATAACAAAGAGAGAAAACCACAAGCTCTCTACTGTGTCGTTCAATAAATTACCATGCCCACTATGGGCACGACAATTTAAAGGGATAAAAATTATCAAAAGACACAGTCTCTAGTTTCAAGACATTTACAATTTACTTGAAGAGATAAGCTAAACACACGAAAAGTTAAATAACAGTAAAACATTTTTTAAAAATATAAGACAATAGAGATAAATCATTAGTTAATGTATGATAAACTGTGGTCTCAGAAAAAAGTGTAATCAAAGGGGATTTTAAATGTTACGTAGAAATTAGGAAAGGATGTTATACATAGGATTGGGGGAAAAAACTGGCTTGGTAGGGGAAAAAGGTTGAAATTGTAGAACAGAGGAAAATAAAATTACACATTTAAGGTTGGTTGGTTTTACTGCCTTTAACAGGCCTTGAATGCCAAGAAGCAAAGTCTGGACTATGTTCTCCAGAATCTAGAAAACAAGTTTTTGTATGAGAAACAACTCAACGAAACAGTATTTAGTAAGGTTACTTTTGCAAAGACAGGAATGGTGAAATTGTAATGGGGAAAGACCAAAGGCAAAGTGATCATTCAAGTTCACTTTCTACTTTAACCATCTATAAAAGTCTAAGATCAGAGAAACGAACAAAGAAAGATCATGAAATAAAATCATCAATAAAAAATCCTGTATTTCTGATATGCAGTGTTTAAATTGGGTAGAATCCCTATAGATCTATTCCTTTTTTTAGATGGCAAAAGGAAACATAAATCCACAGAATTTTAAGAACAGAAGAGGCAGAGATCAAGTCCAACATTCTTTTTTTTTTTTTTTTCAGATGAGAAAACTGAAAAGCAGCAAGGTTTAGCAATCTGGCTAAGACGACAAAACTAAGTAATAGATAAGAGGGGATTAGATCTTATTTATATAATTACATAACACTGTTTAAAGAAACTGAATAGATACTATTGGGGCAGGGTAAATGGAAATATTTCTAGGCAATATGGCTTATTTCCTTAAGGAAGAAAGTAAAAATGTTACTTCTTTGTATCGGTTACAATATCAAAAGATGCCTAGAGAAGCAAAAAGTTCAATGCTAAATACAGGAGGTATGGAAGCGGGGGTGGGGGGGACACAAGAATATGTGATAATCCACCAACTTTCAGAAGCAAAGATGGCAAGTATGTACCACTCAACTGCTCCAGCCTATGGCAGACTCTGTTAGTCCACACTCTGTCTTGCAATACAAGGCTCTTGGCGGCCACCACCAGTGAACCAGAGTTATCAGCACACACTAGCAAGACCTGTTTACCATCACTGTTTGACACTGTTTACATGGCTAAGTGAAGCTTGCCTTTGTTTTCATTTGGGTTCTTTTTTTTTTTTTAAGTTGTTGCTTATCCAGCCCAGAGTCTTTTTTACTTGATATTATTCCCTTTTCTCAATGAGATCTATCTCAATTCTTAACAATCTGTTAATGAGGTACTTTTCAAACTTTTAACGTGCATGCACATCACCGGAGGATTTGGTGAAAATGGAGATTCGGACTCAGTCAGTCCATGGTGGAGCCCACGAATTTGCATTTCCAAGAAGCTACCAGGTGATGCTGGGCTGCTGGTCCACCAACTGTATGTGGAATAGGGTTAGCTACTTGTCCTTAAATAACCTGAGAGTTAAGCCAGCATTATCTGGGCGGGAATACGCAGTCAAAGGCAGAAAGAAAGTTCTACAAAGAACATATCAAGAATCCACACTCTGAACCATGGTAGCTAACTGCACTAGTTTCTTCATCTGTAGACTTTTGGCTTTGCCAAGACTTTCACTGGAAACCTATTAATCCTCAATACTCAAAACTCCTAAACAAGTCTCTCTCAGATCACATTTCAAGCATGACTCCTAACTGCAGTCCTGTTACTGACTGGGAGTGCACCTGAATGCCATCTTTGCTTTGCCCGTGGTCTCATTAAGGGTGACACGACATTCGTTCTAAAGTATTTGCTGAAGAAGAATTGAGACATACCAGTAATACTAGTAAACAAAATGCACAATGGTGAAATACTTTCAATATCATAGCAACTATACTCAGAATCTATGAAATACTCAGGAAATGCATACATTCTACACACAGTTGTCCCTGGAACCAATATACAGGGGACTGATTCCAGGATCCCCATGAATACTAAAATGCACAGATGCTCAAGTCCCTTATATAAAATGGCAAATAACCTACACATATCCACCCATATACTTTAAATCATCTCTAACTACTTATAACACCTAATCCAATTCAAATATTATGTCAGTAGTTGCTGGCACGCGGCAAATTGAAGTTTTGTTTTCTAGAACTTTCTAGCATTTCTTCTCCCCAACTATTTCCAGTGTGCAGTTGGTTTAATCCACAAATGTGTAGCCCATGTGTATAGAAGGCCCACTGTGTTTCCATTCATACCTTATAACTGCAAGTAAAAGATGTATTCATACTTTAGAAACTACACAATCTTTTATATCCTAAATTTAGACCATTTACTTTTTCTAAATTTCATTGATCTTGAGTTTTAAATTCCTAGAGCTAAAAATAGCAAATAAGCTATTCCATGTCTTTTACAGGGAAATCTCCTTTAAAACTACCTATTCCTAAATCATTCAAAGTCATCTACAGTTCAAAACAAGGGAAAAGAAATTCATCTCCTTGTTAAAACTGCAACTTTAAGTGAAAGTGTTAGTCACTCAGTCATGTCCAGCTCTTTGTGACTCCATGGACTGCAGCCCACCAGGCTCCTCTGTCCATGGGATTCTCAGGACAAGAATACTGGAGTGGGTTGCCATTTCCTTCTCCAGGGGATCTTCCCGACCCAGGGATCGAAC